GAACACCTGGATCTCAGAGACTATAAGAGATAGAGACACCAAATTTTGCACAAAGATGCCTTATGTGTGTATTCTATACGAGTTTGTTTTATTTTTTGATTTCCCCCCCCCCACTTCCCCCTATGGGGGTTTTCCCGATTTTCCATTCGTATAATCGCCTATATCTCGGAGACTATAAGACCTAGAAACCTAGGCCTTATGTGAATACGCAGAAAATGTATATTTTGGAATTTCCCTCCCTCCCCCCTCTACCCCGCAAATCGTAACTCCCGTAATTCTTGGAATTTCGAACTAAAATTTTGCAAATACCCCTAGTAGGTTATTATGTGTCCGTATGCCATTTCACTATGATAGACCGATTTAACAAGAAGTTATAGCCATAAATATATTTGCTGCTGCACCGCTGCTCAAGCGCTGTTGCTGTTTGGTTGACTGCGAAAATGCTTACACAGACACGAATAGATGCGCATAGACATACATACACTCACACAGATGCAATTGCTATGTAAATGTGCAATTATAAACCCTTTACGTGAGTTCGAATACCGAGAGAGGTAAAATCGATAAAAATTTTTTTTTTTATTTTCTTAATTTTTTTTATTTTCTATAATTATTGTAAACATATGTACAGAGTATTTCAAAGTCGGGACAGCCGACTTTAGCTTTTTTAGTTGTTTTAATTTTCCTTTTTTGACAGGCTCTTGTACTGTCGGGCTTGCTCTACTGTAGCGTTCTCTCTTGTTTTAAGATATTTTTCTGGATGTTTATACGTATTGCAGCATGCACCGCGACACGTGCACATAGCGACGTAACCCGAACCTAGTAAATGGTTAAAATTAATTAAATACATATCTACTTATATGTAGTAATATCTAAATGTTACCTGGTGGACAAGATTGCATTCAACGTCTACATTTGCAGACGTTTTCCTAGCTTTGTTTTTATCAAATTGACCTGGCTGAGTACATGCTTAGCTTCAGCATTTGACCAAGGCAATGACAGCAAAGTAAGGGCAAATGATGCACTTAACGGTGCTGTCAACATTTTGCCATTTTATAAGGTGTATGTTTTTAAACTGTAAAAAGGTTTTTTCTATATCATCGTTGTTGATTTTAAACAACTCTAAAATTAAAAGAATAGGCTCTTTGATTGTTCTTAATACATTTTCGACGGAAAACTTATCAATAGTTTTTAAAATTTCAAAGTTTTCCGGTAACCTTAATTTAAGTCTTGTCCGTCTTTGCTGGGATAAGTAAAATGTGCTTATAATTAAAAGTTTATTTATTATAGGATATTCTTCTTCTTTCGACGCTCTCTAAAGTTTTTTAAAGAGTTCATTTTCCGAAAAGCAAATATAGTATAATAAGTACTATGTATGGTTATACGTACATACATACATATGTACATACATATCTTCGTTACCCACCGGGCGGACTGCCAGTCCTAACTTAACTGTGTGCTTCCTCAGCACGTTGTGCACACGGTCGAGTTATCCCCGAAAAGCCCGACGCGGGACATTTAATTTTGACGCTGATATGTATATACATCATGCAGGCGTTATCCGCCTATATACATACATACAATACATATGTATATAAGTATGTATTACATTTTTTAATTCAACACTAATTTGTGTTTTCAATTCCAAATATGATTGTTGTGAATGTAAAAGGTGTATTTCTGCTTTTGTAAATCGCATGAATACACTCACAAAATAGGCTTAACGGTAAATGACTCTTAGATTTGTTCAGAATACATTTGTAGCGTTGTTAGCTAACACTAAAACGGTAAGTCGCTGTAAATATGCGATCAGCTAAGATGCTAGAGATGAGCATGTGTCGGATGCTCTATGTGCTAGAGCATCAAAACTATCGATAGTTGAATCCGTCGATACAATCAATAATTCCATCGAAGTTTGAATACAATTAACAAAAAATATAAATAATAACATCTTATAATTTATTGAGATCAATTAGAACAAATCATATACAAACATACATATGTACATCTGCCCGCAACGCGAAGCAGAATCTGCTTTCTGCTTTACTATCACTTACGCAGTCGTTGCCTAGCGACGGCCCAGGGACGGTAACTGTAAGCTTTTGGCATTTGGACTTTGAAATTAACAGGCATAAATGATCAAAATGAAAGAAGAAGCGCGAGCCAATGACTTGCAGTTGTTGTTGTTTTTCGTTTTCAAAATTTGATTTAAAACCATAGAAAATTATTTATTACAATCAAACAACAGTGCTCGATTGTCCAATGTATACATACATACGAATGTACATACATGCTATATATGTATGTACGTAAACAGGCATACATACATACATATGTATGTACATATGCATGCATGTTTCTCTTTACTTTTTCAACCGTACGTAGAGAACCGCACACATAGACACGAACTGTTGCTTGTTCTGTGTGTGAGTGTGTGTAAATGATGTCCCCAACTATTTGATATTTGTGTTCTTTGTAATTTGTTGTTGGTGCATAAAGTTACTAATGAAAACCCTAATGCCAAATGTACTAAACAAAGAAAAAACAAGAGAGAACGCTACAGTCGAGGAAGCCCGACAGTAATAAAATTAAAAAACCAAATTAAAAAAAAATAAATTATTTAAAAAAATGAATTAATTAATTAAGTAATTAAAGTAAATTAGAAGACATGTTTTTGTTCAGTTTTAACAGCATACATTTACATCACGTGCCTATTCGTGTTTATATGCATGTATGTATGCAGCACAAAGTTGAACCAAAGCAGCAGCAACAACAACAGTTGCGGGCAGCGCTGCCAGCAGAGCAGCAGGCAGCGCATGAGCAGCGATTTTATTTATGGCTATAACTTTCTTCACAATTGATCTATCATGATGAAACTTGTACACACATTATTACTAGCTGGATGTACCTACAAAAATTAATTTCAAAATTCCAAGAATTACGGAATTTATAAACAAAAACACGAATTGCGGGGGAGTGGGGGGGGGGGGGTGTATCAGAATATAAAAATAAACTTGACCTGCCTAGGGCATAGGGGAACCATGTCCGTCTGTCCGTCCGTCCGTCTGTCTGTACGAGCGCAAGGATCTCAGGAAGTACAAGAGCTAGAATAACCAAACTTGGTATCGAGGTTCCCCTAAGTTTTAGGCAGGTCAAGTTTATTTTTATACTCTGTACATGAAATGTACAGAAGTATATTAGGTTTGCGGGAGCTGAAAAATGTAACAGGCAGAAGGAGGCGTGGCAGACCCCACAAAGTATATATATTCTTGATCAGCATGACGAGACGAGTCGATCTAGGCCTGTCTGTCCGTCCGTATGAACACCTGGATCTCAGAGACTATAAGAGATAGAGATACCAAATTTTGCACAAAGATGCTTTATGTGTGTATTCTATACGAATTTGTTTTATTTTTTTTATTCCCCCCCCCCCCCCACTTCCCCACTATGGGGTTTTTCCCGATTTTCCATTCGTATAATCGCCTATATCTCGGAGACTATGAGACCTAGGAACACCAAATTTTAGTCCCAGATGCCTTATGTGAATACACAGAAAATGTATATTTTGGAATTTCCCTCCCTCTCCCCCGCAAATCGTAACTCCCGTAATTCTTGGAAAATTTCGAGCTAAAATTCGAACTAAAATTTTGGAAATACCTCCAGTTGGTTATTTTGTGTCCGTGTGCCAAGTTTAACTATGATAGGCCGATTTAACAAGAAGTTATAGCCATAAATATATTTGCTGCTGCAGCGCTGCTCAAGCGCTGCTCAAGCGCTGCTCAAGCGCTGCCCGCGGCTGTTGTTGATGTTGCTGTTTGGTTGACTGCGAAAATGCTTACACAGACACGAATTGATGCGCATAGGCATACACTCACACAGACGCAATTGCTATGTAAATGTGCAATTATACACCCTTTACGTGAGTTCGAATACCGAGAGAGGTAAAATCGATCCAATTTTTTTTCTTTTTTTATTTTTTATTTTCTATAATTATTGTAAATATAAGTACAGAGTATTTCAAAGTCGGGACACCCGACTTTAGCTTTTTTACTTGTTTTACTTGTTTTTTATGTAACATTGTACATTAGAGGAGTTTTACAGAATTAGTCAGTCAAAAGTGGGTGTCGACAGTAAGCTGTTGCTGACAGCTGGCTTGGAGGAGAAATTCGAAAATATTGAATCTTTCTGTGGGACCGACGTATTTTTTGGGAGTTTTCCAAAACAATTGTAGCCGAAACCACCGAAGTTTTCTGTGGCACCCCTTAAACATTTATACATAGGTAGATAGCGCCTGCATGAAAAAATAATATGCATGTACATATCAGCGTTGCCGGACATCCCGATTTTGACGTGACCATAACCATACATAGAATTTATTGTATTATACTTGCTATTTGGGAAATGAACTCCTTAGAAACCTTAGAGAGTGTCGGAAGAGAAAAGTCATCTAATAAATAATCTTACTATTCTGAGCACATTTTACTTAGACCACCAAAAACGGGCAAGACCTGCTAGTGAATGTATATGTATATAAATATACTCTGTACATGAAATCAGCGAATCGGGGAATTTCCCGATTTTCCGTTCATATCTATATCTTCGAGAGTAAAACACTTAAGTCCACCAAATTCCAAGAAGCCTTATTTGAATACGCAGAAAATGTGTATGTATATCAGAATTTTCCTCCCATAACTCCTGTAATTCTTGGAATTTTTGACTCAAATTTGGAAAATATAGTATCTCCAGGTAGTGATTATAAGTCCGTATATTAAGACCATTATTATAGGCCGATTGTAAGGGAAGTTATAGCACTGCCAGCAGCTGTTGTTGCTGCTTTCATCAGGCACACGATACATACACAGACACACACAAACACACATAAACACGCGTAGACACGCATAAATATTCTACACATATGTACAGAGTATTTCAAAGTCGACCCGACTTTAGCTTCTCCACTTGTTTATTAATTTATAATTAATTTTACATTTTGATTTCAGGAATTCTCTTGTCGATTATCTGTTGGACGGCACAGCAATTAAAGAAGCTGTGGCATATGGAAAAAAATCGAATGCTAAATCATGTGAAGATCTTTACCCAAACTGTCTTATGGATAGCAAATCTATTAAAAGTATACTGGTAAAACTCTTGCCAAAGAAGACAGAAGTGTCGAAATCAATTTTATAAGTAATTAAGATTCAGAAATAGTAAACACGAAAATACATACATATGTACATAAGTACAAACAATATGTAAAGTAATATTATATAATAAAACTTTTTAGACAATATTTATTATCTTAAAATATTTATTCAAATTAAAAAAAGAGCGCACTGGAAACTCATTGAAAATTCGCAATACCGAATTTGTGGTGGCAGTGTTCTTCTCTAAGCACCGTCGCACAGTGGGGCAACTTTTTTCGTTGCACAAGCATATCTTCAGAACGAATAACGATATATTTATATACAATTCTCAATGGTTTAGTACGAGTTTATTTTAGTTTATTGACGCAGCCGCAACCTAATATACCATTTCTATAAAAGCTATTAGGGTAACAAATATAACTCAGTGCTGAAGTTTGTCACTCTTGTTAAAATTTGAAATAATTAAATTTTTTTTTAAATTTTTCTAGTTAACATTTTTTTTTTTTTTTTTCAACATAAGCCTGATTTGCGTCCACGCTCCGACGGAGGACAAAGACGAGATTACCAAGGACGAGTTCTATGCGAGACTGGAGACAGTCTATGACCGCTGCCCCTCTCATGACATTAAAATTGTTCTTGGCGATTTTAATGCCAAGGTTGGAAGAGAGCGCGTCTTTGCCCCGACAGTCGGACAATTCAGCCTCCACGAGACAACATCCAACAATGGACTGAGGCTAATTGACTTCGCCGCAGCACGAAACATGGTGGTGAGTAGCACCAGATTTGAACACCTTGATATCCACAAAGCTACCTGGCAGTCACCCGATCGAATGACAAAAAATCAAATAGACCATGTTGTGATAGATGGAAGGCATGCATCCAGTGTGCTGGACGTGCGTACGTTCCGTGGTGTGAATATTGATTCGGACCACCAACTTGTTGCAGCCAAGGTCCGCATGCGATTATGCATGGCGAAAAATGTACGCCCCAACACGCAGCGAAAACTAGACGTCGGAAAGCTGCTAGCACAACAGACTGCCGAAGCTTACTCCGCTCAACTCTCTGAGCTGCTTTCTCAACCGCTCTCGGAAACCGATACTGGTAGCGGACTTTGGGCACATATTTCCCGCTCACTGCACACAGCCGCAGAAGATGTCATTGGTTTCCAACAGCCGCTACCGAGAAACCAATGGTACGACGAGGAGTGCCGCGAAGCCACTGCAGCGAAGAATGCCGCGTACAAAAGAACCCTGCAGACGGCGACAACGCGCGCTGTGCATGATGTATATCGGGAGAAGAAGAGGGAGGAGAGGCGGCTTTTTAGACGCAAGAAGAGAGAGCAAGAAAAGCGAGAGCGAGAGGAGATGGAGCTTAGTAGAGACAGGAACGACGCTAGGAAATTTTTCCAGAAGGTGAAGCGTCTAACGCAAGGTTTTAAGCCCGCAGCGTCAGCCTGTAAGAACTCGGAAGGAAATCTGGTGGTGGACGGGCAAGCGGCACTGAGACTGTGGAGGGAACATTTCTCCAATCTTCTATCAGGCGAAGATGTTAACAATTCCGCCAGCGGAGATGACCCCACAGAACCGATCGCCGACGATGATATTGAAGTACCGTCACCTAGCCATGACGAAGTCGAAACAGTCATCCAGCGGCTCAAAAACAACAAATCTGCGGGAGCAGATGGGCTGCCTGCGGAGCTGTTTAAGGCAGGCGGCAATGAGTTGGTAGGGTGCATGCACCAGCTCATTTGCAAAATATGGCTAACTGAAAGCATGCCTGATGATTGGAATCTCGGTGTCCTATGTCCCGTCTTAAAAAAAGGTGATCCCACGGTCTGCACCAACTATCGTGGAATCAGCCTTCTTTCCGTCGCATATAAGGTCATATCAAGCGTAGTGTGTGATAAGCTAAAGCCATTTGCGATAGCACTGATTGGGCCTTATCAGTGCGGCTTTATGCCTGGTAAATCCACCACTGACCAGATATTCACGCTACGCCAAATCCTGGAGAAAACTCATGAGTTTCAAATCGATACCCACCATCTTTTCGTCGATTATAAAGCAGCATTCGATAGCCCGAGGAGGGAACGTGTATATGCCGCACTGTCTGAGTTCGGTATCCCTGCAAAGCTAGTGCGACTTTGCAGAATGACGTTGAGCAACACTCGTAGCTCCGTCAAGGTAGGAAAGGACCTCTCCGAACCCTTTGATACCGTTCGAGGTTTCAGGCAAGGCGATGCCCTCTCGTGCTATCTCTTCAACTTCCTGCTGGAGAGTGTGGTGCGCAAAGCTGGTGTACACCGAGGCGGAACGATCTTTTTTAAAAGCGTTCAGCTTCTTGCGTACGCTGATGATATAGACATTATCAGCCGTACCAGGAGAGGCGTCACCGGAGCATTTGCGGCTATTGAGAAGGAAGCTGCAAAAGTGGGTTTGGTGATAAATGAGAGCAAAACTAAGTATATGTTTTCCTCTAGCAGGGACACGCGGCAACCAGACTCCCAGATCGCGGTGGAAAACTATACTTTCGAAATGGTGAAAGATTTTATGTATCTTGGCACCACCGTCACAGCAACCAACGATGTCAGCCTAGAAATCAAATGGAGATTAACTCTAGCCAATCGATGCTACTTCAGCCTCAGTAGGCAATTGAGTAGCAGAGACCTTTCCCGAAAAACCAAGCTAACGCTCTACAAGACGCTCATCCTCCCCGTGCTGCTTTATGGTGCAGAAGCATGGGTGATATCGCAGACTGATGCAGCAGCTCTTGCAGTGTTTGAGAGAAAGATGCTTCGGAAGATCTTCGGTCCCATACGCGTTGGCGACGACTACCGCATACGATGGAACAGCGAACTGTACGAGCTCTACGCTGACATTGACATAGTCAAGCGAATAAACATCCAGCGGCTAAGCTGGCTAGGTCATGTCGTGCGTATGGAAGAAGACGCTCCAGCGAAAAAAGTTCTCGATGCGGATGTTGGGGGGAGACGACGACGGGGGAGGCCTTGCCTACGTTGGAAGGACCAGGTAGAGAACGCACTTACTACCTGCGGAGTGACCAACTGGAAGCGACGCGCGCGAAGCAGAGGCGCGTGGAGAGCTGTGTTACGTCAGGTCATAGCCCGATAACGGGTTTGAAGACCAGTCAAGAAGAAGAAGAAGTTAACATTAAGTGTACTCGCTTGGGTTCAACGGCTAAATGGGTATACATATTTATACTCTGTACATGGTGTGACCAAAAGTATATTAAATTTGCGAATTTGATCAGCATGACAAGACGAGTCGATGTATGTCTATCTGTCTGTCCATATGACACCAAATTTTGCACAAAGATGTCATATGTGTATACGCAGTACGAGTTCGTTTTATTTGTTTAATTTTCTGCCCACTTCGCCCCTAAGGGGGTTTTCCCGTTCATAAAATCACATATATCTCGGAGACTATAAGACTAGGGACAACAAATTTTATTCCAGGATGCCTTATGTGAATACCAATAATCCAATCCAATAATTAACAAAAGTCGTGTTGACTGTATTTATAGCCTGTACCCAAAGGGTTAAACGCTATGTTAGTTTTGTGCGAATGTATGTAACACACAGAAAGAGGCATGGCAGAGTATATATATTATTAATCAGGATGACAAGTCGAGTCGATATAGCCATGTCAGTCTGTCCGACCGTCTGTCTGTCTGTCTGTATGAGCGCAGGGATCTCAGAAAGTGCAATAGCTAGGATAACCAAACTTAACATTCAGGTTCCCCTAAGCCATATTCAGATGGAGTTTGTGTTTTTTTTTCTGATAACCCCCCCCCCCACTCACGCGCAATTCGTGTTTTTCATAACTCCCGTAATTCTTGGAATTTTGAACTCAAATTTTGCATATACATCCAGTTTGTGGTTATTTGGTTATTTGGTTCCGTATGCCAAGTGTCATAATGATAGATCAATTATGAAGAAAGTTATAGCCATACATAAAATCGCTGACCATGCTCTGTTTGCAGCGCTGCCCGCATCTGTTGTTGTTGTTGCTGCTTTGGTTCAACTTTCTGCTGCATATATACACGCATATAAACACTCAGACACACGCTTCTGATCTAAATCTACGCTGTTGAAACTGTACATGAACATGTCTCCACTTTTGTATATATATATTGAATAATTTGTATTTAATTTAATTCTTTCTTCTTTTGTGGCCATTACAACCGGATGTCGGTTTTAGCCGCGTCGAGTAATCCTCGCCAGCCTGTTCTGTCTTGTGCCTGCTGTTGCCAATTGGTCACATCAAGACCATTAAGGTCCTGCATAGCTTGGTCTTTCCATCGCAGACACGGTCGCCCTCTTCTGCGTCGTCCACCAGCAGAGTCAGAATCGAATACTTTTTTGGCTGGAGCACTGTCATCCATGCGGACGACATGACCTAGCCAGCGCAGTCGTTGGATCTGAATGCGCTTCACTACATCAATGTCGCCGTATAGCTCATACAGCTCATAGTTCATTCGTATTCGATACTCGCCGTCAACGTTTAGGGCTCCGTAGATTCGTCTCAGGATTTTTCTCTCGAAACCTCCCAGTGTTGCCTTATCAGGTGTTGTTAATGTCCATGCTTCAGCGCCGTAAAGAAGCACAGGCAAGATAAGGAACTTGTAGAGGGTTTGATTAGTGAGTCGAGAGTGTGATCTACTCATGAACTGTTTACTTAGCCCATAGTAGCACCGGTTGGCAAGGGTTATCCGACGGCGAATCTCCAAGCTGACGTCATTGCTGTTTATGCTGGTCCCTAGGTAGACAAAATCCTCTACTACTTGAAAGTCATATCTATCTATAGAGACACTGTTTCCAATACGCCGCGTCTGTCTGCTTGTAGATAGGAAGTATTTTGTCTTGTCCATGTTTACCGCCAAACCCATGTTTTTCGATTCCCTCTCAATTTCTGTGAAAGCTCCGCTCACTGCGCGTGCGTTTGTGCCAATGATGTCAATATCGTCAGCATACGCTAGCATGACACTTTTATAAAAAATAGTGCCTGCCCTATTGACATCGGTCCTTCGCAAAATAGTTTCCAGCAGAAG